CTAAGAAAGCATGTATAGTTGGAAATGCATGCATTTATTATTCTGATATTAATATAAAAAAGTACTGAAATATATTTACCCATTATATAATTCAGACACACCAGCAAATGGTTCATTTTCACAGTTGGCATAAATAAATACAAAACTCAGCATAAACGCAACTCCAGATGAGAACAATGCAAACTTCATCGTATTTTTACATGTCATTTTGAATTTTGAAACAAGGAAACCACCTAAAATCTGACCAAGAGCAGCTCCAGGAATTAAAACAGCCCCTAATGAGAAAGAAGACACAGACAGTGAGAAAACACACACATACATTCAGTAACTCATAATAACATTTGGAAAACATCAAAAACAAGCACCAATATGGTTTTAACGTATAAAAATATTCCTCTGATATAGAATTATATGCATAAATGACTTAAATGAAGAATTACTAAAATTAATGTAGTGAACATTAAGATTAATATATACTCTCTTTAGCCTTATATACCCTTTGTCTCTCTCAAGTTCGTACAATATGTCTGAAAATCAGAAACTTCTATCAATCAGTATTCAATTTAAATTTCAAGGAGCGGTATATCCCAAATTATATATTATCCAATAAAAACTTAAAGTAGTAAGGTAAAATTATTAAACTAAATTAGAACAAAGAAAATGCTTTACCTCCAAGGGTAGCTGCAAAGCTGGATGACAATCCAAATTGATTTTCTATAAATTTAGGTAAAAATGTAGCAAACCCAGTAGTAACTAAAGCTTCTGAAGAAGTTGATAAAACTAAACATATAAATACAGTATTCTTCACCAAATTCTGAAGAAAAAAAGTACAGTTCAACAAATGAATAACTGATTGTACTGCAAAGTACAGTACTAGAAAGTTACCATGATGGAATAGCAAAATTTTTAATAAACACAATATAATCATTTTAGCATTTTCTCCAGCACAAAAATATAACTATGAATAATTAATAGATTTACACATACAATGATGAAAAAATTGTATATATGGAACACCTAGAGAATTAACAGATGATTCATCAATACAGTACTTACGACTTTATCACATTCAAGGCACCAGGAAAACAAAGTAAAAGCCTGCTTGGACAGGTTCCCTTCCCAAGTCTTACTGTAGATATCCACACTATAAATTTACTCTCTATCTGATTTTTTCATTGTTTTGAATTCCTATGTCCAATAAACAAAGAACTTAAGACTGTGAGCACAGATAAGAATGTTCTGTAAGTACTAAACTTGTAGCATCGTTCCATGATTAAAGGACTAGTAATTACGAACCTTAGATAGATATAGGGTTAAGCAACTTTAATAGGTGTCTGTATTGCTAAACCTCTCAGAATCTTATCTATCAGAGGAGAGTGTAGAGAGTCATTGTTTTAATACATTTAAGCACAAAAATGAAAACCGAATTACAGTTCTATAATATTAAATGCAAAAAAAAATGCTTCAAAAAACTAAGCAAAACACACACACACAGGAGTTACAAAGGGGAGAGACAAGAGATTTAGAAGTCAGAGCCAGATAACTTATAAGGATAACAGAAGTGACAAAAGAAGACATGAGTGAAGACATGCAATAATTTAAAGTAGTAGTAGTAGCAGAAGAAGAAAATACTTAAGTCTTCAGATTGCGAAAGATAATAGATTCCTAGGAAGACTTAATGTAAACAGACATACTTAGGGATTACCAAGCAAATTTCCTAAAATCAAGGATAAATAAAACATTTACGAACTTACAAAAAGA